TATGGGAAGATTGCATCGTGTCTATAGATTGGATGGTATTGACATTTCCACAGTGTTGAGGCTTCCTGTCTATGAGCATTGTATGTTGCCATGTGTGCAGGTCACTTGGATTCTTGCAGCGGTGCTTTGCAGTCTTCTTTGTTTTACGTTGTTTATGTCTGTGACTCTACCACACTTTCTACAGTGGCTGCACCCCCCAGCAGTTGTGTGAGTTCTAGTTTCTTTACTTCCCTCTCAAAGCTGTCATCCCTTACAGCCTGTAAACTGGTCTCCCTTCCTCTGTTGATTACTGTTTCCACTGTAAAGTACAGTCAAATCTCTCCTGAAAACCCACCACCGTGCCCCTAGTTGCCTACAGAATGAAGTTCGGTTCCTGTCATGGTTCTGGGCCTCTGGAGGGCCTGAGATCACTTGCCCACCCTCCCCTCACATCCCTACCCTGAGGGTACAGTGTTTTGTTCCCTTGTTTCCCTGGAACACACTGTCTCTCACCTGATGCTTCAGCCACCCTCCATTCGATACTTTCCGTTCCCTATGGCTTCAGAGCTGCACCCTCTTCTTCTTAAGCCCTTCCGATTAATTGTTCTAATCTGGCCTTAGATGTGCCTGTGGTTCTCACTTTGTTTGATTTTTCTTTGTGGCTCTAGCCTTGGTTATGGCATTCTCGTCTCCTCTCTCTGTCCTCAGTTCCTGATTCAGTGCCTGGCAGGGCAGATACTTGCACAGAGGGCCTTGTGTGAGACGCCACTGCCATCCAGGTGCTGTCACAGGGACCTGGCTGCACGTGGCCAGGGGCACTGTGGTTTTCCCGGCCCTTCATGGCCTCTCTCCGGCTGTCCTCTTTCCCCTCCAGGAGACTTGCGACTTGGCATAGCCTCCACCAGTGATGAGAAGGGATGTGAAGCGACAGTGCTGAGTGTCTGAACATGGTAAGGATGTAGACCTGCCTGTGGGGCTGCCATGAGTGTCCTTCTGGATGAGGGGTGCTTTCCTGGGTTGGCTCTGAAGACCCTCAGTATGGGCCGGCTTCTGCTGGGAGGACCAGGGGAAAACCCAAGGGGGGGGGGCCTGCCCCTTCAACGGTGTGGTTTGCAGGGCCTCAGCACAGGTGTGGAGAAGGCCAGGTTAACAAATTTTGTTGGCATCACTTACTCTTAAGCCCAGTGCTTTGCTGTGTCACGTCATTGCCAGGGTGTCCCCAGCCCCTGTTCCTTGCAGTGGGCTGCACCCAAGGAGGCCCTCGCAGTCCCCATAGCACATGCTGGTCGATATTCCCAAAATGAGGGCTTGTTCATTTCTACAGTTCCAAGAAGGCTGTTAGCTTCTCAAAGCTGGGCAGCTTCTGTGCTGCGGGGAAGCTGGTGCACTGGTGGATTGTTGAAGACAGATATCTCAACTAAAAATAATACTGCTTTCACTCCTACCTGTAGATCCGAATTGCAGCCTTAAATGCCAGCTCCACGGTTGAGGATGATCATGAAGGAAGCTTTAAAAGTCATAAAACTCAGACAAAGGAAGCTCAGGTGAGTAATTCATGGGTTTCACCTGTAGGTACATCTTATGTCTACCCTCCACTGCTGTGGAGTCCATTCCGACCCACAGCGCCCTAGAGGACAGAGTGGAACTGCCCCACAGGGTCTCCCAGGCTGTCAGTCTTCA